TCATGTGTACTAGTTTTTGTTTCTGTTATTGATCATTAAGCTCGCGTCTGCTAGCAATTTAAATTTTCTTTTAGATCTTCACAGATCATTGTTCCGCTGACATGGAATGATTTGCCATTTTCAGGTGTGAAGACTCATAAATGTTGCAAGGGATACTGTATAGATTTGCTATTCAAGCTTGGTACCAAACTAAACTTCACTTACGATGTCCATCTTGTTGGAGATGGCAAGTTTGGTGTTTTGGAAAAGGTAGTTTGTTTATTCTCTTTATTTACAACTATATTTTTTATAAAGTGAACTAGAAAAGAAAATAGAAACCATAAATTTTAATGAATGTAATTTTGTTGGTAAGATATGATGATGCCAATAAGATTCAATTAAATAAAATTGAAGGTAGATATTTTAGGCTGTATTCCCAGAGCTTTTAGATCGATCTTTCCCCGTGGGGAGTCTCACTAGATTACTGTCAGATAATCCGGCTTAAATGTCTGTCCCGCCTACTACAAGCTGTAAGGGGGTAATTAACTTTCGTGTCCACTCGGCTGACAGCTATTTAACGTGAACCCCCAGGGAGTTAGGTCGATCTAAAGTAGATCGATCTAATCTCTGGAAATGGGGTCTTAGATATTTAACAAATTTTGTGTCACAGCAAGAGACATTCTGTGGTATTCATTGAACACTTTATTTGTTAGAACTGTCTTTTACTCCTAGCTGAACAAGGCTGAGATAAATGTAAAATTGAATCAGATTCAGTGCAGGCATTTCAGTGTAAGCATGACTCTAGAAAATAACTAAGGTATGTTGTATTTTAGAACAATAGGACAGCCCAAGAGTGGAATGGAATGATGGGTGAGCTTTTGAAGAAAAAGGCAGATCTCATTGTGGCTCCTTTAACTATAACTCCTGACAGGTCTCTGGCTGTGAAGTTCTCAAAACCTTTCAAATACCAGGGACTGACAGTTTTGATGAAGAGGGTGAGTCATATATTTTATGTTCAGCTGCTTAATTAACTGTATGTCACAATCACCTTTGTCTGTTAGTGTTACTGGAGGGTGAGTTTGGAGGTGTTGAAACTTCTGGTTATTGCAAAAACTTTTAATCGAAGTTTTAGTTTTGCTTCATATGTTCTACACTTACTAGGCTCCAATCACGATGACTTTCTTGTAAATATGATCACTAGTTTCTTGGCAAACTATACACAGTAGTGATTAATTTGAACCATCTCTTTAAGTGGAATCTAATAAATATATATATATATATATTTTTTTTTTTAATTCAGAAAATAGAGCCCAGTAGCATTGCGGGTTTGTGTGCAAATGATATTATGCAGGATGCGTGGATCCTTGTTAAAATATCTCTTGTATCTTCAGGGTCACAAAGACTCCAACCTAGGCTCCTTCCTCCAGCCTTTCCAACCACCTTTGTGGATTCTAGTTCTGCTGTCAGTCCATGTGGTGGCCTTGGTGCTGTATCTGCTGGACAGATTCAGTCCATTTGGTCACTACAAGCTGGCAAAGTCCTCAGATGAGTCAGAGGAGCACCCCCTTGACCTGTCTACAGCCATATGGTTTGCTTGGGGAGTGCTGTTAAGCAGTGGCATAGGGGAAGGTGAGAGCGCAAAGGGAAATTGATCATTTCAGTGCAGATGAATTATGATTGTAAGAAAATGATAAAGTATTTGTGTGATATTTTTCTTGGAGTAATTAAATGAAATTGTTTATGATTCGACCATTTCTTCCAATGTTTTATTTGATATATAATTGTGCATCAGGTAAAGAGAGACTTCTGTGACAATTGAAAAAAAGTAGGCTTACTGGGCCTGCAAGTTTTGAAAGCTGCTTGCACTGATAAAAAGCTTTATTTTTTAACAGGAAGCTGTTAGACTCGGGCCAGGATCATGGATGATTTCTCAGATTTTTGTGTACAGATATATTTGATTTTATTTCATATGTATTGTCTGCCTCTGATATATCTATTCATACTAACAACATAACCTTCTTTTTTTGTTCCAGGCACCCCTAGAAGTTTTAGTGCCAGGGTGGTAGGGATGGTATGGGCAGGTTTTGCTATGATTATCATTGCTTCTTATACTGCTAACCTGGCTGCTTTCCTTGTGCTAGACAGACCACCCTCGGCAGTCTCTGGTATAGATGACAGACGGGTAAGTTGAGGCTTTGAATCCTAAGATATATACTTATTCTGAAGACTGGTATAATACCAAATTACAAAAAAAAGAAGCGTAGATAAAAATCTGTTATTTGTGATTGATCGATTGGTCACTATTTCCACGATTTATTTAATTTACCTTATTGTAACTGATTCCCTCTTTCAGTTGAGAAACCCTACAGATGAGTTCATATTTAATACTGTCAAAGATTCCTCTGTAGAGGACTACTTCAAGCGGCGTGTAGAACTGTCTACCATGCACCGGACAATGGGGGACAATCCAATACAATACGAAACTCCTGATGAAGCCATTAAAGCAGTGATAGAAGGGTACTTACTTATTTTTTAAGTTTTGCCAATCTTTCATAATTTGATTGAAGACCAGCATTCAAAAATAAAATAAATAAAATATTAACATTTCATTTCTTGGGTTATTGTAGCAAATGAAATTAAATTATTTCAACTGTTAAAAAATATAGGTTTTTCTTTTTGAGCTGTAATAAGTGAGGAGAATGGGATTTTTGTGCCATATTGTGACATGGCCTAGATTCAGCCTGAAATCAGAACCTAAGACTTGGCACAAACCATCCACACATCAGGTAGCAGTTCAACTCTATGCCCACTGTAATTTGGTCATGAGATCCACAACATTCTGCTATTTTATATTGCAGGAAACAGTTAGATGCCTTTATTTGGGAATCCACTCGTCTGGAGTATGAAGCTGCCAGGCGTTGTGATCTGGTCACAGCTGCGGAGATGTTTGGCAAGGAGAGACTTGGAATAGCAGTGCGCCATGGAAGTCCTTATGCTGAGGCCATTAATCTGCAGGTGCTGGGATTTCATGAAGGTAAGCATATTCCCAGATACCTATATCCAGTGACTCTGTCAGTGTCTAATTAATGTTGATGTAATGTTTTTTTTTTCTTTTTATGTACAGACACATATAGCCATCATCTGCGTCTGTCGTCGCCGTCGTCGCTGTCGTCGCCGTCGCCGTCGCCGTCGCCGTGCACTTTTACCGATAACACGATAAGTGGAAAACCATTTTACCTATTGACTTGAAACTTGCAGAACTGATGAATATTCATAATACGCAGGTCAAGTTCGAAAATCAGCATGATCGGGTCACTTTTAGGGAATTTATGCAGTTTTTTCACTTTTTGCAGTTCATATATGCAGCANAGGGGCTGACAGTTTTGATGAAGAGGGTGAGTCATATATTTTATGTTCAGCTGCTTAATTAACTGTATGTCACAATCACCTTTGTCTGTTAGTGTTACTGGAGGGCGAGTTTGGAGGTGTTGAAACTTCTGGTTATTGCAAAAACTTTTAATCGAAGTTTTAGTTTTGCTTCATATGTTCTACACTTACTAGGCTCCAATCACGATGACTTTCTTGTAAATATGATCACTAGTTTCTTGGCAAACTATACACAGTAGTGATTAATTTGAACCATCTCTTTAAGTGGAATCTAATAAATATGTATATATTTTTTTTAATTCAGGAAAGAGAGCCCAGTAGCATTGTGGGTTTGTGTGCAAATGATATTATGCAGGATGCGTGGATCCTTGTTAAAATATCTCTTGTATCTTCAGGGTCACAAAGACTCCAACCTAGGCTCCTTCCTCCAGCCTTTCCAACCACCTCTGTGGATTCTAGTTCTGCTGTCAGTCCATGTGGTGGCCTTGGTGCTGTATCTGCTGGACAGATTCAGTCCATTTGGTCACTACAAGCTGGCAAAGTCCTCAGATGAGTCAGAGGAGCACCCCCTTGACCTGTCTACAGCCATATGGTTTGCTTGGGGAGTGCTGTTAAGCAGTGGCATAGGGGAAGGTGAGAGCGCAAAGGGAAATTGATCATTTCAGTGCAGATGAATTATGATTGTAAGAAAATGATAAAGTATTTGTGTGATATTTTTCTTGGAGTAATTAAATGAAATTGTTTATGATTCGACCATTTCTTCCAATGTTTTATTTGATATATAATTGTGCATCAGGTAAAGAGAGACTTCTGTGACAATTGAAAAAAAGTAGGCTTACTGGGCCTGCAAGTTTTGAAAGCTGCTGGCACTGACAAAAATTTTTTTTTAACAGGAAGCTGTTAGACTCGGGCCAGGATCATGGATGATTTCTTAGATTTTTGTGTACAGATATATTTGGTTTTATTTCATATGTATTGTCTGCCTCTGATAAATCTATTCATACTAACAACATAACCTTCTTTTTTTGTTCCAGGCACCCCTAGAAGTTTTAGTGCCAGGGTGGTAGGGATGGTATGGGCAGGTTTTGCAATGATCATCATTGCTTCTTATACTGCTAACCTGGCTGCTTTCCTTGTGCTAGACAGACCACCCTCTGCAGTCTCTGGTATAGATGACAGACGGGTAAGTTGAGGCTTTGATTCTTAAGATATATACTTATTCTGAAGACTGGTATAATACCAAATTACAAAAAAAAAGAAGCGTAGATAAAAAATCTATTATTTGTGATTGATCGATTGGTCACTATTTTCACGATTTATTTAATTTACCTTATTGTAACTGATCCCCTCTTTCAGTTGAGAAACCCTACAGATGAGTTCATCTTTAATACTGTCAAAGATTCCTCTGTAGAGGACTACTTCAAGCGGCGTGTAGAACTGTCTACCATGCACCGGACAATGGGGGACAATCCAATACAATACGAAACTCCTGATGAAGCCATTAAAGCAGTGATAGAAGGGTACTTACCTTCTATTTTTTAAGTTTTGCCTATCTTTCATAATTTGATTGAAGACCAGCATTCAAAAATAAAATAAATAATATATTAACACTTCATTTCTTGGTTTATTGTAGCAAATGAAATTATTACTATTGTAAAAAGAAATAAGTTTTTCTTTTTGAGCTGTAATAAGTGAGGAGAATGGGATTTTTGTGCCATATTGTGACATGGCCTAGATCCTTAAATCAGAACTTGAGACCTGGCACAAACCATCCACACATCAGGTAGCAGTTCAACTCTATGCCCACTGTAATTTCGTCATGAGATCCATAACATTCTGCTATTTTACATTGCAGGAAACAGTTAGATGCCTTTATTTGGGAATCCACTCGTCTGGAGTATGAAGCTGCCAGGCGCTGTGATCTGGTCACAGCTGCGGAGATGTTTGGCAAGGAGAGACTTGGAATAGCAGTGCGCCATGGAAGTCCTTATGCTGAGTCCATTAATCTGCAGGTGCTGGGATTTCATGAAGGTAAGCATATTGCCATATACCTATATCCATTGACTCTGTCAGTGTTTAATTAATGTTGATGGAATGCTTTTTTTTTTTTTTTGTTTGTTTGTTTTTTAAGTATTAATTTGGTTTTCTCATTAAAGAAATAATTTTGATGATTTTTTTTTTAAATAATAGATTTAAATTGAATATCCAAGATTTCTATTTGCCAGTCTTTACAAAAGGCAGTGTTGTGTTCTCGTTTACAGAAGGTGACATGGAAAGTTTAGATGGCAAATGGATTCTGAAGAGTAACATAAAATGCAATGAAATCAATTCATCTCCTGCTACTCTTGGGCTGACTAACATGGCAGGTGGGTAGCATGATGCAGGATGTTCTCTGTCTGAACCAGGTGCATCTCTGGTAATATTATTTCATTTGTTCTACACAAACCATTGATAAATTTTGCTTATGTCAGTCTTGCAAATACAGGACAAGGAAACTGAAGTATAAAATCTGTTTTTGCCCCATAATCTGAAAAACGTTTTTGAGAATTATGCTGTACTTCTGCCAGGCGGATGGGCCCACTAATGCTGAACCTATAACATCTTGATTCATGGTGGTAAGGGACTTTCATAGCTGTTTCTGATATAAATTGTTGCACTTGACTATATTCTAGGGGTGTTCATGTTGGTAGCTGGAGGTATACTGTCAGGAATATTCATAGTATTTGTAGAGATCACCTACCACCGCCATGTGTCAGCCAGGCAGAAGGAAATGGAGCTGGCACGTCATGCTGCAGCAAGATGGAGGGGAAATATTGAGGTGAGTGGTCCTCACATGAATTTTCAGTGTTGAAGTATATTTGAATTTCCTCTTTCTCAGTACATAAGTTAAAATATAACAGTAAATATCACTAAAGCTGAAAGGAGGTTAAGAGGCAGCCAGTATTGTGGTTGATGTATATAAAATATTATTTCAACTTATTTCAATTTGAAAATTTTCAAGTCTTATATGCAAATAGGAAAGTAACTACTTAACAAAGATTTTTCAGTATTCATGAAGTATTGTTAACAAGACGTTCTACTATATTTTCTTAGATTTGAGAATAATGGCAAGAAAAGTGCCTAATACTAATATTACCTTTCACCTATTTAGTGAACTGTAATGTGATTAATATATATTTAAACCTTGACTTTTGATTGATCTTTTTTTTTTTTTTTTTTTTGTTTCTCATTTTATGAGAATGCATGAGGTGGCGATTTCTACTTGCATGTTCTTTTATCTTTTATATGCTGTTGCTTATTTGTTAACTATATTTAGTGTTATAGAAAGTTATTTGAAAAATTAACTTAGCCTTGCGTACATGCTTTCAAAACAAATAATACATACATGGAGGTTATATATATATATATATATATATATATATATATATATATATATATATATATATATATATATATATATATATAACCTCCATGTATGTATTATTTGTTTTGTTTTGAAGTAAAATATATAGTTTTCAGTTGACTTTCTATAATGTGCCTTGTAAGGTGTGTGTTCTGTTTTCATACAGTATGTGTGCAAAGTGACAGCAAAAATGACGACATGCTGTTGACAATGCCAAATTGACTAATTGTTTTGAAGCTGTTGTCAGTTTTATTTTACATGCAGAAAATAATGACACAATTTTTAAACTGTTAACCACTACTAACGTATAATCTTAATACCATATCACTTAACCCCAATGTTAAATCCCAGTCTATTTCACAATCCACAGCAGGCAAGTGTCTTCATGTCAGTGAATTGATCAAGGCATTTGTTGAGGTTTTCCAAGCTTCATTCTTGCACAAAGTTCTCCCAGCTACCCTCTAGCAAGGTGGAAGCCAGTTCACCATTCTTCATAGGTTTTGTGAACTTACAGGCTTCTGAGATTTTGTGATTAGAAGTGGGTGAGTTTGTTTAAGTGCATGATGCATAAAAAAGTTCTTCAAAAGGCACATTTTACCACAGCCTGATTAAGGAGTTAAGAATGGCTTGTGGTAGCTTTGAAGCCTGAGACATTGTTTATTGTTGATGAATTTGTCTGATGTGATTGGATGATTAAGCCTTACGATTTGGTTTCACTTGTTCTTTTATATTTAGAGGGGTCACGCTTGCTGAATTCTACCCATAACTTAGAACTTCAGTAATTATATATCCATTTTTATCCATGATTGATGTTTGCTAACTTAAATGAATTATATCAAAACAGTAGTAAGGGTCGGGATCACTACTTAGAACTCTTATCATATTAGAAAAGGAAGACCTTACGGGCAAGCTGGGCAGTGCTGAGGAAAGACAAAGCAGATGATTTGGATGAGGTAGTTATGTTTTCAGTGCACTCAATAATGGTGAAATAGTACAACAACCACACGTGTATGAATACTATCTCCAATTCAAAGAATACTCTTGGATTTTTCTTTCATTTTATAAGTTTATGCACTTATATTTGTCCTGATATTTAAATTGGATTGTTATGTGCATGGTGTTTTATTCCTTTCTGTGTCCCTTTAAGTATGTCCCTGGTGACATTGTCTATTACATAAATGGTTTATTTATATGTTGTTGCTGTTGTCATACTTTTGATGTTGTAAAAATTGGTTTGTATTAACTTGTGGGCTGCTTTGATTCTACCTTTATCATTTTGATGTTTTTTATTTAATATTAAAAGAAAGAAATTGAGACAACTTTAACATTAACAAAAATGTTGTGGATAATTATTCAGAAGCGACGCATGCAGCGCAGTAACCAGCTTGAGCATGAGCAACTTCAGCAACTGCACAACGGAGCAGATGGCAAACTTGTCAATGGAAGAGGTGCCCTGCACCGTGGTATAGAGGGCGCTGCACAAGCTGAACCAGTACCATACCCAACATACTCTGGTGGGGACTGGGAGCAAAGAGAGCCTGAATACACAGTTGCTGGTGCTGACAACAGAGATCACAGTGGTCAGAGAGTGGACATTGTATAAAGCAGATGGTTGCCAACAATTGGCCTCTGTGGAAAAGGAGAATGGTATGATGAAAAGTTAACATAAAACTTGCACATGAAACTGGAAGTTTATGGGATGATTATGTAACAGTATCATAGTCTGTCTTTAAGTTGAGGTATAAGATGGAATTAATATTTCTTCAGACAATTTTCTTCTGTGTGTCTTTATCTGATAGAAATGTATACTTCCAGGATCTTGTATTTTCCTGTGTCTTCATTGTATTGTATGGTTTCATTATTGTGCACGGTATTTGATATTGCAGCATGTTTTTCTTTTGGTAAGCTTTTTATTATGAATTTTAGTGCAAGTTTGCCACAAGAATTTACTCCCATTTTACTTGTAAATTACCGTGAAGCTCCCATTTTGAACTTTTTGACAAGTTTGCCACAAGAAGTTACTCATATATATGATAATGATAGAGTCATGTTTATTTGAATGGATATTCAACCATAATCTGTGTATAAATGCTCATATATATATATATATATATATATATATATGCACATCCCCGATACTGGGTAACAACAATGGGTTGTCATCTGAAAGTCTTTTAAAATATTCCTTCTTGTTGGATTACAGTGGGGCTGCTTATATGTGAAAGGGGATAGATTTGTCTTGTTATAACTAACAATTCTGTGTTTCTAAACATTGCTGTGTGTTTAAAACTTTTTAATACTTAGCCGAAATGACACTAAAACAGCGTTGAAATCTGGGACACAGACATACCAGTCTCTGTTGCAGCTGTACATTATGGAAAAGAAAGCTCTCAGAAAAGTATTGACTTTTTTTTTTTGGTCATATCAGGGATAATTCACGGCACACACACTAGAGAAAAACAAAAATTGCTCTTCGTTACAAATTTTGATGGATAAATGGGAGCTTTCTCAACTCTGTGAAGTTAAGTGTACTCTTCCCTGATAATGTTTAATGTTACATTTTCCAAACTTTATGAATATGAGACAAAATACGATGTATATTATAAACAGAGAGCGTGCACACAAGAGCCGACACTTCATGTTGTTGCTGTTTTACCTCCAATACAGGATCACAGCTTGCTTTTCCAAATCTGTGAAGTTCAATGTACTCTTTCCTAATAATTTTTGTATGGGTTTATTGTTACATTTTCCAAAATTTATAAATATAAGGCAAAATACAATGTTAATTCTAAGCAGAAAGCGTACTCACAAGATTGGCACAATGTTGCCCATGTCCCAATGTTGTTTCTCAATATATATATATATTTTTTTTTCTTTTTTTCTGCACCTCCACAATACTTGGTAACAACATTGGGACATGGGCATCAAAATTTCAACTGAATATATATATAATATTCTATAACTTATAAACCCACCAGCTGCTTGTGGTACACAATGTTTTTGCTGCCATTTTGAAATATGTTAAAGATGAAATCATATGATATCAATTTCATGATGTGTTGTTACCTGCTTACATTTTCTGTCTTTCTGTGACAATAATGGGTACTATGTGTAAGATGATATAGCAATTTAGCAAAAAAAAAGAATAAACCAAATATATATATATAGTGAAATGTTGTGTTGTTCAGACAGCTGTGATACAGTTGTATATTAAAACACTTTTTTCGTACCCACTGTCTACACTTTCCTGTCACTTAAATCGTCAGTCTACAGATATCTACACTTGATAGAAATAAAGATGATCATTGTATTTTTAATTGGTTTGAACTTTTGGTATGCTATTATCTCAATACTTTCTTGTCTAAATGTAAAGCTGCATGCACATTATTTGAACAAGTGACACAAAATAATATATTAGCATATTTTCACCTGCAGAAAAAAAAATTTGTACCAGACACAGGTTTGCAGTTCAGCTGCTTGTGTTAAGCAGCATGTCAGAATCAAATATTGATGGTCCACTTTGCTATTTATATACAAACTTTGCATGTTGAATGTGTTTCCTGTACTTTTGGCCTGGAATAATCAGTCTGTTTAAATATTTTGTGGAGTTTTGAATACTATAAAAAGTAAACATTATTTAATATGTGGTGCTTAGAGATCATGTTATCAATTGTGAACAGATTGTGTTTTTATTAGTTCATTCTTATTTACTAAAGATGTGTTTAGTCTACAATGTATGTAAAAAGTAGCTTCACTAGATTGAGGTATTAATAAGTTTCTGTATCACTGAAACTGTTGTTCTCTCTGTAAAGGCATCTTTTTTGTAGTTCTTTTGTTTTTGATTTAAATATTTTTGACCAGCATTTTAAGCAGGACCTAACCTTGTGAAGTTTACCAATGTAAACTTTTGTCTTTGTAATATTCAGACACATTTTGATATTTGTGCATGGTATCTGTATTTGAGGTTTATTACTGTTTTCTTTTTTTTAAGTATTTAATAAACTTGGAATGTTCAAGAATGTCATTTTATTGGTTTTATTAAAATAATATGTGAAATGCATCTAGGGAAACTTTTTTAAATTGTCAAATACATAAAAAAAACTGAAATGAACTCAAAAACTAAAATTGATTGTGAAAAACCCAATTAAAATGCATTTAATATTAAAATGGCAAGTTCTCATGACAAGTAGTGGCAAGTTCAAGTGTGCTGAAATTGGCTCATGATGTATTTGAATTTTACCCGTGTGCGGCCTTATAACCTACATTAGTAACCAACAATGAAAAACCTATTCCTGAAATAAATTTTCATGTGACCTGTTTGTAAACTCTCAGCCCCCGTTGTATTAAATTGACATCTCTTCATTTTCATGGTATCATTTAGGTATATTTACATATAATAGGTCAAGGATATGTATCTAAGGCAAAATTCCAATAATGTTTAATCTGGGATCTTCATCCTTTACTGATTAATTTCTTTGATCTGTTTATGGACAGATGCTATGTGATGTCACCTGCAGTTGTTTTGTAAAGTTTTCATTTTAAACCATTTAGCATTTTCAGGATGTGACTCTGAACTCTTAAGGGTCTGAAGCCCTGTGTTAGTTGTTTTCTGAATGTTCACAGAAACACTAGAACATAATTATAAAGCAGAGGCTATAAGGCTGTTAACCTTCTTGTAATATTGCATCAAAATTGACAAAAATATTTGTGAAATTTTGTTGTACTGCTTTAATCATTTTTGTCATGTTGAGTGTTTGTTTGGAATGCGCTGTCTTGTTTTGAAATAGTAAGGAACTTTTCTGATTTATTAAATGCCTTCTGCCCTATTGATATATTGCAGTTGAAATAAGGGAGCGACCTCCCAACATCCGAACCTAGTCCATGGTGTATTGTCTACTTCACATTCACTTTATAATAACTATTTAACTAACTATTACTATTTAACTAAATGCAAATCATGTGTATCAATGCTTGTTAACTTGGATGTGAGCCAGCACAATGTTACTTCCTTTGGGTTAGAAAAATCCAATTATGTGTCTCTGTTATATTATGTTATGTTAAGATGTTGGCAAGTTCCAGGTAGTTGAATCGAATTACCTCGGGGATACTCCCTAAATTGCATTCAGTTTAAGCAGCTCAAATGTCTGGCACGCCCCCTTGTAATTTAAAGAACTTGATTCGCCAGCAGCTGCAAATTCCACCAATTGAACTTTAACTTTCACTGATAATGTGTGGAACATTTTTTAGTCATTAAGTGGGAGAAGGTGTGAACTAATGCTCATTGAGAGTGTCGATCAAGGAAATGTCAAATACTTGATGGACAACGTGAAAAACGGGGATCACGGGAAAGATGCTGGAAAGAAAGTAAGTGATCAGTACATGCAGGCCCGTAGCCAGCAATTTCAAAAGGGGGGTTCTTTTTCTGAAAAAGTGGACCTTTTTCCATAAAAACTCCATGTACCTAGATCATATATTTATTTTACCCAGAGTGGACCTTTTCCTAGCAAAAAGGGTGTTTCTTTCGAACCCCCCCCCCCTTGCTATGGGCCTGACATGTAAATAGAAAAACCAGCTTAAACATCCCTTTATTTTTAAAAGAAAAAGAAATCGTTGATAAACAACCAAGTGTGTATAATAATAATCCTATTTTTCAATAAAAAGGCGTATTTAGGAGAAGCAAAGGTCGTTTAAGTTTAAGCCTACATTACATTTGCCACGGACGCCATACGATGAAGCAGTACGATTTTCCGTGCGATTTTTACGTCGTACATGTATTATATGTAGCTACGGCAAGTATGGTAGCATTATGTGCGGGTGCTACCGTCTACAGAGCAACAGATTGATTTTTCACAAGATATTCACAGATATGCCATTAATTAGATAAATAGTCATTTTGTTCTCTGGATTTTTCAAGATTTCCCTATAATATCTGTAGAGGGTATGCGGGTGCCGTCATTTCGCCGACATGACCTCGAGGTCACGAAGGAAAAAATCGGTTTGTCTGTTGAAAAGTGATCGTACAGAACCCTTTCAGTCTCAGTCCAGTTGCAGTGCGCCTTTGTTGTGGCTTCGTATGCTACGTGTCTGTTTTCAAATTGTGTCAACGATTAATATAAACCTTAGGCTAAACAAAATGTATATTTTGGTTAACGTGCGGCAACTCTATACACTGTTAAACAGAATCGGTAGACAAATTTTCTTTTATTTTTATTATTATTATTTTCAAATGTGTTAAATGGACAAGTCAACTTAATTTTATGATCAGTTCGGTAAAGGGTTGTGTCAAATCCCAAGTGTAGGTGATTGCAACGCATAACAATCGGTCAATCGTATTTTTTCCACATACCAATAAACAAATTAAGTTTCCCCAAATTTAGGTACGTGAGCCAACTTATACATTTTCCTAAAGAATTTCTTAAATGCAATCGATGAGGGGGGGGGGGTAATGATGTAGGGAAGTAACAATGTTGGGGAGTGACGAAGCGTGGAAGCAACGATGCGGGGGTGTATCGGTGTGGGTTCGTATCGATGCGAGTTAGGCAAAAATTAACTAGGGAGGGGGAGAGAAACGGGGGTACGGGAGTTTTGGTGCGGAGGCATGTTCACATGACCTCAGTCAAAGTGAATGGCCGTAACAGATTTCAAAAGTTATCATCATAAGGTAAATAGATAAGACAAGCACTAAGAGGCAGAAGAGGGTGCGTAAACATCGAATCTAATCACCGTCACTGGTTATTTGGTTATTTCCCAGCGAGGTATTTCAGACACACACTTGTAAATAATGCAATAGTTAAATACCTAAAAATACATCTAACAGTGATTTTTTTTTTTTTTTTTTTGTCACTTCAAAAGGGCTCTGAAGATATAGTGTCTGGTTTTCAGGTTCGTTTTTCTCGAGAAGCTAGTGTCGTTTTTCAAAAACGAACCTGGCAACCAATAAATAGTACGGTGCTGTATTTTTTTTTTTTTTCAAAACAAATTAGTGGCGTTTTTCAGAAACGATTCTGACGCTCGGAACGGGAGTGAANGATTTTTTTTTTTTTTTTTTTTGTCACTTCAAAAGGGCTCTGAAGATATAGTGTCTGGTTTTCAGGTTCGTTTTTCTCGAGAAGCTAGTGTCGTTTTTCAAAAACGAACCTGGCAACCAATAAATAGTACGGTGCTGTATTTTTTTTTTTTTTCAAAACAAATTAGTGGCGTTTTTCAGAAACGATTCTGACGCTCGGAACGGGAGTGAACGGAGTGAGAGACGACCGGCGATAAGAGCCAACCGCGACCACATCCAACTTACTCCTCACAAGTCACATCGTGAATTCGTTACAGGTCACGTGAAGGTGATATGTGGGTTCGATCAGACTTTATTTCTGACATATGTAAAAACACTTATTTCACATTCTTGTTTTCGTTATGACTTGAGGCATCGATAACCACTGCGTGTGCGTGTGAACGTCACCTGCCTCCCGCCGCCCCCCCCCCACACACACACACACACACACACACACACACACGTGTACTCGCTGGACATGACCAATTTATTTAAAGTGAGCTTTGGTGTGACGGTAATGAACTGGCCCTCTCTAACTTGCCTTGCATATGTAAAAACACCTGTGGCGTTATTCCATGTTAGGACACACCACAGTGGACCGTCCACCTAACTATTAGGCCTACCGTTTGATGTGAATAAGGCCTTGCCTGATCTGATAAGCTTCAACGCGTGGATTGGTTAAATAAAAGCATATGCCAAAACACTAGGCTACCAGTAAACAACCTTATTAGTTTACAAGTAAGACCAGACAAGGAATCACCATGTTCAGTATTCCTGGACTAATACGCAAGAAGAGAGACCGCAAGACTTTTTCTAGGGAAGAAATTGAGTTCTTCATCCAAGAACTTGTCAAGGAAAAAGGTGGAGCAGTACAAGATTGTCAGCTTGGTAAGTGGTATTACTCCACAGCATAGTAGGGGTATCTTGTGAAGAATGACGACTCTTCATTGTTACTCTCTCTCTCTCTCTCTCTCTGTCTCTCTCTGTCTCTGTCTCTCTGATACGGACGTTGGCGCTCATTGTGTCCCACATTTCTGTATCTGTAACATCTCACTCATCATCTGTCAGCAACTCGATCTCACTATATATATATATCCTACAAAGGTCCATCAAATTTCAAGAAATGTTTTTGGTTTTTGGTTGCACTGATTGGCCTCTGTGGCATTGGAGGTACACTTACATAAATTCCTCTAGGGATTTTCCTATTTTGCTGTGATTGCTAATTCAGTTCATTAATCATTTGATGGCTGTACTGGTACTTATTTTTCTTAAGATAAGTGAAGGTTGCACTTTGCAGCCTGTTATCAAACAGTAGCGAATTCTAAGAACACTGAATAATAAGATAGAGGTGTGGCTATATGTGACACAATTCAATCAGGATACATGTACAAAATAAGTTAGATAGGACAAGTTCAGTACCTTGTACTGAATGGCATTCACCAAGTAATTCCTTAAAAAGATGCATCTCAGATATTTGAGTCTGTGTATGTTCTGAGGGCTTATCGCCTGGTAAATCCTTGGTAAGCTTCTTTATTACTTAAAATAAATTTAATCACATGAACAGGGTGCTCCCCCCCCCTCCCCCCCCAAAAAAAATCTGGGGGTTCAAGTCCTGTGAATGGATTGCCCACATTCACTGCTGATCAGTCTCTCCTGATGTCACTGTGGCAGTGCTGAGGAAATTTCGGACATCACAGGGGAGCAGAGTGATAGATTGAGATGGACAGTGTGGGATTTAAAGAAAAATTTACATATATATATTAAAAATCAAAACTTTTTTCCTGTACGAGTAATATTATATATAATAAAAAGAAAAAAATAACAGCAACTTTTTTGCCCCGACCGGTTTCTTTCTTTCTTCAGGGGGTTTTGTTTATTTGTTACCAGGTGATGTCATAAAGGCTACAGATGTCACATTTTAGCCTTTAAGACATCACCTAGTAACAAATAAACAAAAACCCCTGAAGAAAGAAAGAAACCGGTCGGGGCAAAAAAGTTGCTGTTATTTTTTTCTTTTTATTATATATATATATATATATATATATATATATATATATATATATATATGTAAAATTTTCATTAAATCCCACAGTCCTCTCTCAGCCAGGTAACAGTGTCATTTGATGTGTGGGGGGTGGCCCTGTCTTGCTGGAAACACTGTCCATCTCAATCTAAGACTCTGCTCCCCAGTGACTGCCAAACTTCCTCAGCACTGCCACAGTGACATCAGAAGAGACTGATCAGCAGTGAATGTGGGCAATCCATTCACAGGACTTGAACTCCCAGATTTTTTTTTTTTTTTTTTTTTTGGGGGGGGGGGGAGCACCCTGTTCATGTGATTAAATTTTTTATAAAGTAATAAAGAAGCTTACCAAGGATTTACTGGGCGATAAGCCCACAGAACAAACACAGACTCAAATATCTGAGATGCATCTTTTTAGGGAATTACTTGGTGAATGCCATTCAGTACATGGTACTGAACTTGTCTTATCTAACTTATTTTGTACATGTATCCTGATTGAATTGTGTCACATATAGCCACACCTCTATCTTATTATTCAGTGTTCTTAGAATTCGCTACTGTTTGATAACAGGCTGCAACGTGCAACCTTTTCTGCCCTTTAAAAAAGCCATACTTTAATTTAAAAAAATAGATGGTAGAATAACAATGTAGCGTTATTATTATTCACAAAATAGTTGGTGATACCACTTCATGCATTAGCAATATTTTGATTTATTTAAGTGATCTATCTCAATGATGCATTTATAAGAAGTTGGAGAGTAAGAGTACAGGTGCACTGGTATCTTATCTACTTTGTCAGTTTATATAATAAGTTGAATTGAAGGGTGGATTATCAGCTAACTGACAAACAGAAATAACGCAAGCCTGCGTAATACTATGGAGGTAATAATACCACTGTCAAGGGGGAATTTATTTTCAGAGCTATTGTTATTTGACACAACTGAATGGATATATCAATTAAGCTTTAAAAAATCTATTTAATTTTTTTTTATTTTCACAATATAGAAAAATAGTAACAATGTATAATAACTTTGTGAATTAAAAATGAAAATTCTCAGACACAAGCCTAAATTTTTCCGTACCGTTAGCTTACGGCCTCTGGTCGAAGGCCTTCATCAGGCTGACGTGAGTAGTTGTTCACACTCACTGACCGCTAGGTGGTATAGCGGCCAGGACCCTCTTATAAATATCAGGTAGATCAA